ACGGAAGTGTTATTGGTCAGTAACTGTAAAGCGGTACAGGTGGCAGAAATCACCGTCGGGGAGCACACCATAACCTCGAAGCGTGTGTTAAAATACCTGGGAGTGATGATTGATGACCGGCTAAACTTCAATAACCGCGTCGAATATGCCTGTGAGAAGGCTTCGAAGGCCATCAACGCTATAGCTAAAATTATGCCGAACAACGCTGGTCCCAGCAGTAGCAAGAGGCGTCTTCTGGCCAGCATGTCATCATCGATACTGAGATATGGAGGTCCAGCCTGGGTTCCAGCTCTGGAAACGAAGCAGAACCAAAGGAAACTGAGCAGTACGTTCCGGCTCATGGCCATGCGAGTCGTGAGTACATACAGAACCATCTCGTCGGAAGCAGTATGTGTTATCGCCGGTATGATCCCTATCGGCATCACCCTGGCGGAGTACAGCGAGTGCTACAGGTGGAGAGAAGCCGGAAGAGTACGGCTAAGTGGCAACAAGAGGGGAACACGACGGAGAACGGTAGATGGACACATAGACTAATACCGATTCTTTCGACCTGGGTGAAAAGAAAACACGGAGAAGTCAATTTCCACCTAACGCAGTTCCTGTCTGGCCACGGCTGCTTCAGGAAATACCTGCATCGGTTCGGACACGCAGCGTCACCTCTCTGTCCGGGGTGTGGCAACGTTGATGAAACGCCGGAGCATGTGGTTTTCGACCCTACATCTACTCCCCCTCCCCCTACATCTACGTTTTTGAGATTGAGCAATTTTTTTTTTCCTAGGATTTGTTTTCCGTGCTGAGCACCAATGCTACCGACGCCAGGAAGGCAGCATCCACACCTGGACCCTACCTATCGACCCATCAACTCATGAACCGGGGACCAACGGCTTTACTTCCCTTCTGAAGGAAGGCGTGATCAGAGATGTTATGCCTTAGAACATCCCGGCGGTGCCGACTGGGATTGAACCCAGGCCTACAGGGGTGAGAGGTAATCACGCTTACCACTAAACCACCGGTGCCGCTTAAAATTGAGCAATTGTATTTGTTGTTAGGCACTTCATGATATACTTTAACGTCATTACTGGCATGGTTCTAAATTGTGGTCCCTAGGAATGAAAAAATCAAAAAGTAGGTTTTCCATACTAATTTCCATACAAACTTCAAACGCAATGCGGAAAGCCGGGTTAAAAGCAATCATTCCCAAATTTTTCACAGTTGTTTGGGTCCCCAAATGGACCCAAAAAAAAAACATTAGTCTGAAAAAAAAATGATCATGATGACCCAACCTAATATACAAACACATACAGAAACATTTTCCGATCCCGTTGAGATGAGTCTATTGGTATATGTCATTCGTCTCTCCGGGTCTTGGAACGGAATTGTGTTTTTCAAGTGATATCATAGCCTTTCGGCACACCTTGATGTACGAGAAAGGCAAAAATGTTGGTATCAGCTATTTGTGTTATATTTAGCCAAGTTTTTCTCCCCCAGGTGTGTAATTATTTTGCAAAATGTAATGAATATGATATATCTTATTTTAAAACTGTATTTGTAAAATAGTTACCACAGTGTTAGTGTGCCAATTCATCGTTCACGTTGTACGCACACTAAGCAATAACTACATTTACACGAGACGTAATCCATATTGGACGTAAATCATAGAACGTAAACAAACATTTCATGTAAAATTAAGTGTTCTCAAACCGAAACACTGATTGATTGATTTGACGTTTGATTGAATTGATTTTCACGTTTCTTTCAACTGATTCTTATGTCAAAAGGCCCACTTACATGTGTCGGTCTCAGGGAACCGAAATTTACATGGCTTTTTAGTAGTGTGCAGTACTCTCCATTTCTCGATGATCTGTATTTCGATATTCCTTTCTATTTGAATCGTTTCAGCAACTCTGATCTTGATTCATCAAGATTTTTTGAGCACGAAGTGTTTAAAATCGTATTAACAAGCTAATACATTGCTCTTTTGATGGTAGAATCCTCCATATTTAGGTTGTGGAAAGTTGAACCTCTCACAAAAATGTGCTCGTTCCCCCGCTGCTGGTGTGCTTGGCATATAAAATCGACTCAAATTTAAGTTTAAATTACTTAAACTCTAGTGAACGTAGTTTACTTGTAGACTGAGTAAAATTTTCCGGCCTCATAAATCTTTTCGAATATGAGAAAAATCAACGAAAAATTTCAATGATATTTGAGATAAAATACCAGTGATTCTAATGAGAGAAAATTTACCTAAATGTGGTGATCAGCATTTTTATAAGGCTCTTTTTGGAGAGATGGGTACTTTCGCAAGGAGAGGGCAACATCATGTTGAAAATCCCCACTAAGTGATTCCTGACCAGAAAATGCTAAAAGCTGTTGAAAACTAAGTAAAATTTCTTAAACTAGGGTGATATCATGGTTATGCTATGTTAGTATCTTATTTTATTATAATCAATCCGTTAGTAGTTGTTATTACTGTAGATATCAAGTTCTCTTTGTTATTTTTAGATTGAATGAAAATCCTTTGGCGTTTCAAGTATTAGCGCGACGATGAGCGGAGACGTGATATTTGAGTTAGAATTATTTCATGCATAAATCAGCAGCGTACAACCCATTAGCTTTAATTAGATTTTCTTATTAATAGAAAGCATCTCAAGCATGTAAAGCATATATACTAAAAGAGGAAAGAGTGTACGTTGTGCATACTGCTACCGTGATCCTGTTTGCAAATTGCCATTCACCTGGAGGCACTCCTGTTTAGCTATCATTTCCTCCCCGCAGTTTTCCTATACCTATATTAAATGCGGTGCTTCTGTGCTATTTTTTCGTTCTTTTAATTTCCAACCATGCACGGAAGCTTCCACCATTTACCAGCATTATGTTGGCGAAGAGGTTTCCAGCGAGAAAACCGGAAAAAATAATATGCAAAGCTTCATTGCTCGAGGGGGAAATAATGAACATTATAATAAAAGAAGAACTGTAGAAAGTTACCTACAGTGTGTAGCAAAATTGCGCAAGCCAATACATGTACAATTTTATGAACTTTCAATTGATAGATTTTTTTAAAATCTCGGCTGGTGCTTTAACAACTATTTATTGATTTATCGGTATAGTTTTGGACTTTATTGGGGACCGTTCATAAACCACGTAGACTTTCTAGGGGGAAGGAGAGGGTAGCAAAAAGTCTACGCTAGTCTAAGAGGTGGGAGGAAGGGGGGAGGGAATAGTTAAAAATGTCTACGTAGCGAATCATTTTTTTTTTCATATCACAGGCATTTGCTCATAAAGCAGATTCACACACTTAGATTTTTTTACAGTACACTGTAATTTTTTTTACCGAATATAGAACAGCTGAACATTCGGTAATCTATTCGGTAATTTGTTTATTTACCGTTCAGTAAATTTTCTTCCTTTGTGAGCTCTCAAAATTTGCTGATCTGGACTGTAAATTTTGCTGAATTATCGGTAAAGTTTGCACTAGCGTTCAGTATAATGTTTACCGAAATGACTGTACTTTATTTTCCTGAATGAGTGATAAAAACAAATGATTTTAATTGATTAATTCATTATTTATTTCTCTAAATAAACGAAAAGATTTATTTGGCTCATCAAAATTTATTTTTGTTTTTGTATTTTCATCGTGCGTCCGTTCAAAAATACACCGCACACAAACTCGTTTTTTCCTGTTGAGGAGGCCATTAGGTCGCTTAATGTCGAGCCATGGCAACTGAAAGCCCAGTAATGAAAAAAAAATTCTTGCAGCGAATAGATTGTAGTAGAAAAGTAAAGTACACTGGAGTCGCTTTTTACGCGGTTTTTTTTACACGGTTTTTCTACTGGGTTATTTTTACGCGGATTTCGGAATTTACACGGTTGTTTTTTTACGTAGATTTCGGAATTTACGCAGTTTTTTAAGCGGATTTTGGTTTTTATTAACGCAGATTTCAGAATTTACGCGTATTATCGTTATACACTAGAGTTGCAGGGATTTTCAACCAAATATACAAAAATAAACCGATTTGCGATTTTGTAGGGAATTGCTCCATACTGAATCGCATTTGTATAAAGTTTTCACAAAAGTACGGTAAAACCAAAAATCTTGCGAACGTTAGTATTCTGGATGCCGACAAACAAGCCGGAAGAACTTATATTCATTGATTCATATTGAATATATAATCTGGAAACGTCGATTTAAAATGATGAATAAAATATAATCTGCGATTTTAACTTTTTTTTATATAATTACGAAAGTCTACGCAGACTTCAAAGGGGTGGAGGAAGGGTACTATGTATTGTTATAAAAGGGAGAGGGAGAGGTTAAAAAGAATTAAATTTTGGTCTACGGATTTTTTCATAGTGGATGGGTTTTAGTAAAAATGGCGACATCAATTATTAAAACTACAAATGAGCTAAATTATTTAAAATATGTTATGAGAAAAGGTGTTTTTCTAAAATAGCTCTAACTACTTATACAGTAAACTTAATAAACCCAGCACTTTATCAATAGCCAATAAATGTTTGATGAGCCAGCAACCAAAAATTCCGCTATCAATATTTTTAAATTGTGCTCGAACGGCTGTTTTTATAAAATTTAAGCTCTACTGTACGCTCAATTTTGAGATACACTGTATATACGATGGCCAAAGAAGGGAAGCAAGTAAAATTAAGTTGACTCAGCCAGGTGCAAGAGTTTAGTCGTGGAAAACAAAGTATACACACATCGATAGTGATATCAATACCATGCACTGCACATCGTGATCAAAATGGTTGGGAAAGCTACGGACATCTAAATAATTGCGACCGATTTCTTCCATTATGACCCACTGTGTGCTATGTGCTTGGTGTTGGTGGCAAAGGAACCCACGCCAGAGATCAGGCATCCAGAAAAGCTAGCAGGAGCAACCGAAAACAGAGCCAATCCAAACAACTAATAGTAGTAGTAAGGTGTAGAAGAGATACAGAAGGAGCAAAACTATGCAGCAGCTACACTTTTCCGGGCTACTAACACTTACCCATTCCCCGCATCGAATAGACCATGGCAGTTGGCGGGAAGGGGCACATTGGCGGTGGACTGTCCGAGGCTGGCAGGACGTGATAGGAACTGGCGGTGGCCACTCCCACCCCGCTGGTGCTGCCCTCCGAGTCCGAGTGGGAGTTGGTATCGAGCCGCATGTACGTGGCGACCTTCGACTGGATTTCGATTGGAAGCTGCGTGGAGAAACGGAACGACGAAATGGAGTTTTTGAACGACTTGCTGCTCGGGTCCGGATGGCTCAGGGAATGTTGCCCAAGTGAGATTCGATGCAGTTGTCTTGAATAACTTACCGTGGAAAGCTTTGGCGAAACGAAACTATCCGGTTTGCACTGCAGCAGCTGGATGGCGACGCTCATGTCTGTTTTGTATCGTTCCTGCAAATTGAGTCGAGATAGAGAGAAAGGAAATTAGAACTGTAGGAGATTGACCGGTACGCAATTAACATAATGAAGTTGTGGGAAGGACATTTCTTGGGATCTGTAGAAGGTTTGCTTTTAATTGTTTGAAAACAACTCGTTTACTGGGAAAGTGGGTTTTTTTTTGGGAAGGGTTAGAATGGAAATAGTTATCTAGCACAAAGTGATTTACGGTTCGGTTTAGCTATTGGTGGCATCATTGATTCTGAAACAAGCTGTGGCTTAATTTACGTATAACTTACCAAGTTAATTTTGAATAATTTTCAAGTGACCTATTGGAGACTGTTAGTTCAGTCGAGTACATCATGAAACCACATTTGAAATTGTATACTCAGTAAGGTTCAAACATTTATTTTATTTTTAAACTGTCTTGGAAAGCAAATAGTCAGGGCTTTCGAAATGTATACATTTCGATTTATGGCGATTTTAGTGAAATTCGTTGAGATCTTACTAATTATGTATGTCCAAGTCTTTCGTTCAGAGAGCCAAGGACCGGGAGAGACTGCATACGTACAAAGTGCATAAGGCTCCAAATCGTGACGAACGACATAATACGGTGGGAAAGTCACGGGCCCGGAAACTGTACACCCAGATGCGGACGAAGCCTCATTGTCTGATCATGGATGAAGCGACTTACGTCAAGGCGGACTTCCGGGGCTACTGTTCGTCATTGTCCAGCACATGTTTGATGTTCCGGAGAAAGTAAGGAAGCAGAAACTGTCAAAGTTTGCCAAGAAATACATGATTTGGCAAGCGATGTGGCAAACGGAGTGTGCCGTTCGTGACTACCGGGATTGTAAACAGGGATATCTGCCTCAAGGAGTGTCCACAGAAGCGTCTGGTTCATCTATTGAATTAACACTAGGCCCCTACGATCTTCTGGCCGGATTTAGCTTCGTGTCACTATTCAAATGTTGTCCTGGAGTGGTACGAAGCCTACGGGGTCACTTTCGTACCCAAGGACATGAACCCCTCCAACGCACCAGAACTAAGGCCCATCGAAAAATACTGGGCTATTATGAAGCAGACACTACGAAAGCATCTCAAGGAGGTCAAATCTGAGGAAGACATGAAGAAAAAGTGGGTTTCCGTACAGATCTGCAGCCAGATGTTGTACGGAACCTAATGAGTGGAGTTAAGCGTAAGGTGCGAGCGTACGGTTATGGTTTTGAAGTTGAATGAAATAAATATGCCGCAAGCTTACTAATGGCGAAGACAACAAATTAAGAAGACTGGCAACTTTGCCAGAATACAAGCCACAGATACAATGGCACTGCACCTGAGTGAAGGTGGAAGCAACGCATAGAAAAATGAGCAAATACACAAACCCTTCTTCTGAGGATGTAATCTTTGCTGTCAAACTCGTTCGAAGCATTTGTCTTTGCTAATGGGTTATATTTTATTGTCTGAAAGTTTGAAAAGGATCGGCCAACTAGGTAATTTTCTACAACATTTTTTCCGCTCGCTAAAGCTCTGTCCAGACTGAGCAGTCATAACATGTTATAACGGTTGTGAAATAATTGCAACATAGAAACCACCTCAAGATAGCGCTATAACATGTTATAACTCTGTAGTCTGAACATACTATAAGTCGCAAACAATTTTGAATGCAAGTTAAACATAATATATAGAAACGTCAAATTGATCAAATGCCGGCGCTGCGGTGAGTAGTTCACCGAAATGATAATATTCAAATCAGTCCTTAAAGGCGTGAATGATGATCAATAATTATATAATTAAGTGTTACGCTTATCTGTGATACTAGGAATTTTCTCAAAAACTAAACTTTTTGTTAATTGTCTGCTACCCATTTTCCATATTGCTTTTTTGGAAAGTGCCATAACTATTCTTACGGAAAATTTTCTAAGCTACAACTTTGCGAAATATCGTTTTTCATTCAAATGTCAAATTAATTTGTTATTAATTGTTTAAGAGATTGATAATCTTATGGCATGATCAAGCAGCTGTTCTATGGGTAACACTGTATTCTGCAGTGTGACGGAGTAGCAATGATATTTGTGCTCTATTCTTCGCAATAGAAACACCAATGTTGTCTGCTGAACAGTTGAATGAGCATAATCATAAGACATCAGTGATTTAAATCATTAATAACTTCTATTTCTTACGTTTAACTGAAAAGTGGTTTTCAACAAAGATGTAGCTGAGAAAATTTGCTACAATTATTGCTACCATTTTGTGGTGAATTGTTAGATAGATATCAACAAAAACATAAGTTTTCCCATAGTAATTCCCATATAAACTTGAAATGGTTTGTGCCAGGTCAGTTTCTTACTAATGTAGTTCAAATTTTGGGAGTCTAATTAGGACCCAATTTGGAACCGTTTGAGCACTGTGGAACGAAAATCTCAAACTTTGCATCAGTGTAATGGTTACGCAGTACCTCTGACTGCTTTCATGCGAGCTCTCTCTACAGCGGTCTTGAGACATTTTGGGGAACCGACCGCCCGACGATCCTTTGCGTGCTTCCGGGATTTACGCATGCATTTTGCAGTCATATGTTGAGACATACAACTTCCAAGTAGTATATGTAGCACAAGCACTACTGAGTAATACTGCGCTAATTGGAAATAGTAGATAGAGTTTCTTTCTCTACTATGCACCTCTATATAGGGGAAATGGATGTAATGTTGGCCTAAATGTCCCCAATTTGAGCTCATCCATAAATTCAGCAATAAACTAAATTTTCAATAGCGACCAAAAACATCAATTAGTACCTTCCCAATGGCACGTTCATCTAGATAAAAATGATAAATAGTAGATTTTTAGCGATGGGCCCAATCTTAGATCCATACGCCAACATTAGAGCCATTTTCCCTATATGAATTTTGATAAACATTTGAATCTGGCGGTTTATAAAAATTACATTTTTCGCGAAATAAATTTGCGGCCTTACTGAAAATAGGCCTATACTGCAATACCGGTCATAATTGGTGGCCCTGAGAAGGACCGATTGTTCAATCCGAGTCAGAAGGCTCCACCTCCAACTAAGTTGCTCAGGATATAGGTACGACATCATTCTTAACTTAAAGCTCATCCCACAGCTGCCCGATATCATCCGATCACATCTCCACAAATCAAGCTGATCAATGATTTAGGTCCTAAGTAACATTGACAGATTCTCATCGTCGACTTTTTTTTGCATCCTCACGGCTATGTTTAGACATTCTCAGTTATTTTCAGCACACATATCGATGAAAGGAGCTATTATCTAGCTTCTAATATGACAAGCACGACAAGAAACGGTTCGGTACCCAAGTTATTAACGAAAGAGAAGGACAATGAAGAGAATCGATTAATGTATTGCTTCAACTTGAATAAGAGGGCGAGATAAATATAGAAAACTGCCGGAAACCGGATACCGGGTAGGGGCGAATTGAGCTTAATGTAAAAACAGTTCGTTGAAGAGGTGAGTCTCATTCCACACCGCCGCTGGTAACCAGACCTTCCGATGCGAAAATGAGCGGTGACACGACAGCAGCGCTCTTTTATAACTTTTCAGGTTAAAACAGAACGATATAAACTAAGTCGTGCTCGACGACTGGGTTTGGGGAAATCGTTTATTTAATGAAAACAGTAAAACAGTGAAAACGTTATCACCTTTTACATATACCTTTTTTAAAAGTTTTTTTTATGGATAGCTGGAAATTTTTTTCTTAAATTTGTAGAGTTATTTTCTTTCGATTGGTGTATTTGTTGAAATCCTATATCCTATCCTAACATCTATAAACGACAAAGTTACAAGCGTTCAAAACCTAACACCTTTTCGTGACGGTCAAAGTTTTAGATTTTCGACATAGGGTAACTGATGATGGTTGGACCTATTGAGGCCGGTTTCACACGACGTCAACATTCATGTCATATTTTTTTATGAATTCTACATATAATTATAAAAAATGCGTGATTAGGAGAAAGATCTACCTTTATTGTTTCTAATAATAACATAAAAAGTTAAATATTATGAACAAATGATTTTATAAAACGTTTTTGTTCAGCAAAGAATTATGATGTTGGTTGGACCTAAAAAATGATGATGGTTGGACCTATTTTTGCAAATGCTAGTTTAGCCCATATTTGTTCAAAAACTTTGTTTAGAGCTTATTGGTATCATGAAAAAACCCTTTTTATACAGTTTTTATAAATTTGCTATTTATAAAAAATATCAAGAAATTTGAGTTTAACTGCGTTTTTAAAAAAGTTTACTTTCCACGCATTAGCTATTCATCATGGCTCATTTTCTCGGAAATCATTGACCCGATTTGAAATTTTTTTTTAACGTCAAACTATAGGTATTGTGGTCCCATTGAAAGCTATCAAATATTTTTGGAATCGGTCAACTGGTTTCGGAGATATGGCCGAAAAAAGTTACAGGGTATATGGATCATGGACCTAATTTTGACATGGAAGGAATAAAACCTATCATGCAACACTTCACATTACTTCCAAATTCGATAACAAGATCAATAACAAAATTGAGTGCCTTGGACCACATTGGCCACTTTCGGGCATGTTCTGGGTGCCCCCGGGGAATTAAGGGGCTTAAAATGACCGAATATCAGAACTCAATTCCGGTTTTATAGTTCTTTTTCTCCTAGGTGTTTTTTTTTTCGAAAATAGGTTTCAGTCAGGGTTGCTTCCACTCACTTGCTATAAAAAAATATTTTTGGGAATTATGCAATCATTAGAAGTTATAATTCAACGTTGCACTTATAAGTAACAAGAAGAGGGTGTAAAGTATGTGTTTGACTCATAAAACCTGTCAATTTCGCTTTGAGAGCGTCACAATCAGCGATCTTATGATTCGTGAGCGTTCACTCAGAGTGAGCGCTCACGAGTCGTAAAATCGCTGATTGTGGCGCACTGAAAGCAATATTGACAGATTTTATGTGTCAAACATATACTTCATGACCTCTTGTTGTAACTTACAAGTACTAATTAGC